GGGGAAAGAATAAGATAAAGAGTCGGATTTATAAACTGTGAGAATTTCGAATAGTTATGTAATATGGTAGTATAAACTATAGAGGATAAAGGAGAAGGGTGTAAGGAGTGACTTAGTAAGAGGGGTTAATGCTAATGGGATATGAGTTGTTGATATTGCAAAAAATTTGAGGAGTTGAAGAATAATAGAGGAGAAGGAGGAGATAAACGAAAAGAAGATATCTAGACCACTTACGAGATCCAGAATAGGTACAAAGCTATAAGAACATTAAACTCACATCTTAGATATCTTCTCTATATGAATACCTCGGTAACATGATATGATTTATAAAGTAGCGAATAGGATTAAGACTTGCGAGCAGAATTGACGGGTGGAAGTATGTATATGAATAGGTGTGTGAATACCATCGTTCTATTTTGGAATACTAACATCATGTTTTGTCTCAAGTCTGGGAAGCTGGGGGGTTCTTGTATATGTGTATGATGTGTGGAATGAAAACAGATGGAATTCTTAAAGATTGTTATTGGCCTTGATGTGAAGACGGATGAATAAGAGGTTCTGTATGCGAATTTGAAGACATAAACAGGAATTTAAGTGGAGGTAGAGATGGTTGATTTGAGGAAGCGATTACTGATCAATGAAGGTGGAAGATGGATAGATGGAAGATGGAAGATTGAATGACGAGAATAGATAAACGAATAGATGAAGAGATTCAATCCTAAGCATGCCTTTACAATAGGAAGCTGAATATGTAGATATGAAACTATGAGTCTAGATCGAGCTTCAAATTGAAATATCCTTTAGTATAACTTTATATATTATAATCCACGGACTTCAAAAGATTGGGGATGTTATTTGAAAGTATCCGTTCAGGTTGATAGAGAACCTGACCTACGAAGAAGGTTATTGAAAACTGTTTCGATTCTATCTGTAGATGCTGCAGATGGAACTCTGAACAAGATTGATTGATCATAGGTAGGAATAGTTGGTAGATAGAAAAGTGATGGTACATGAAAACTTCAACTGATAGCTACTAGAATTTAGATTGAAGATTGAGGAGATACCTACACGTTTATAGTCAGAGGAAACTCTTCTTATACCGTTAAGGAATGCAACATTGAAGTGTAGATGGCTGAACTGAATGTGATGACACCTATTGAGAGAATAGCAAAACTCTATACTTGGATCGACTCGCGGATGAAATATCTCACGTATCTAGACAGCAAAGACTTTTGTCTCTTGTCCCATACACATCTTCACACCGAGTAACCATTCAGCTCCGTTGCAGAACAGAAGTACCAATAATTATCTACTTACTCGAACTGATTTGAGTTGAGATGGTTGATTCAGTATCGAGTACAGGTAGGGTACCCCTGAGATGAATCACCAACGTTCCGGGAGATCCGAGGGGATCTACAGCCCTAGGAGAAAATTGCGGGGTGGATAGGGAGGTTGTTTGACTGGTGAGATATTAGATGTGAAGACATGTCTAATCCAGTTGAACGATTCCACTAGAGAAAGAAGTTTGTTTATCTTTCATGTTACTTGACAATCTGAAGTGACCCTCAATTTGAACATTCCGTGCGTTACGAGACAATTTTAATGTTTGAACAAGCTGGCTTCTACAACTTGTAGATTCCTCATTGTGAGATGGTATAAATAGATTGAAATGCTTTATTACTTGACCGATAAAATGAAATGTATGTAATGAATGTATGTATGATATTAATAGAAGAGTAGAGTTGATAATTGGGAAAAAGGGCAAAGGGAAGATTGGGGGAATGTTGGGAAAGATTGAATGCAGCTGCACCTACCTATCTACCGATGAATGAATGGATGGATGGATGGATGGATGGATGGTATTTTGGACCCCGCACCCAAGCCTGAGTAATATTCTCCGAGAGTAACTTTTGGGGGCGGACGGCTCAGAGAGTAATAGAGTACGGAGTATATCTAAAACCTATTAAGATGATCTACCGATCCACTGCAGGAGCATTAAAAGGGTGAAACAGATATTCATCAGATTAAGAACCGTTGGACGGCACAGTTGGAACTTTGGGGGAGAGAGGGAGGGGGTTTTAATTGATTCTGATTGATTAGCAGAAGCTTTTGATATCAGGTATGAGGATGATGAGTGAAAATAATTGAGAAGATGAGAAGATGATTTTGATACGCATACAACATAGATACACATATCTACTCAAATGGTTTCTCCAATGGTTAATTTAGGATTCTCCATTTTCCATAACCGAGTAGACAGTGAACCAAACTTTCGGAAATCGATGTCCCTAATAGCTCGGGTGTGCTTGGTTGATTAGGTACAGTAGGTAGGTAGGTAGGTAGGTAGGTAGGTAGATAGGTAGGTAGGTAGGTAGGTAGGTAGATAGGTAGGTAGGTAGGTAGATAGATAGTTTGATTGATCGATTGATCGATTGATCCCTTGAAACTTGGGCCCCCAATAATTGAATAGATGCTCTTAGTTTCATGCCATCTTCTAATTTATAGTTAGGATGTCACACTCCAATGTATCCAATGTATGTATCCTATGATTTGCACCTAGACATCAGAACCTTGGAAACAAGACATGACAAACTGCAATGTCATGACATACTCTATCTAGTCTACATACTATCTACCTACAGACCTAATAAGCATACACTGATCATCATCCATGCCATTGTCAATAATATCACGTGACCATACCGTGATTTCTCTTGATTAGAATCATTCTTTTCCCTACATTCAGAATGATGATACACCTGCGTGAATGGAATCGAAAAGAATTGTATGTTATATGTATTATCTTCCAGATCATCCAAGGCCATCTGAAATGGAAGGGCTGGTGATGATGGAAATCATGTCACACTTACCCTTATTTTACATGCCACTTTTAGCAAGCGAAAGTTGGATGGTTGTGTCGAATGATGGTTGATCGAGGGAATGACTTATAGCAAAGGCTAAGATATGAAAGATGTATATTTTGGAGTGTAGAGGAGAGTAGAATCGTATGGAAGTTGATTACCCAGTATTCCGTAGTTTACCAACGTGGATTTTAGTTGTTCTTATTGTTGTTGCTTCCGTAAGATGAACGTCGGTGAAGGGACTCGAGTAGATACGGAGGGAGGAGGGAGGAGGTAGGTAGGTAGGTAGGTAGGTAGGTAGGTAGGTAGGTAGGTAGGTAGGTAGGTAGCTAAGTAGGTACTGATAAAAGATGAGATGATTTCTAGAATGAAATACTGCGAAATACAGGTGAAGATATCTAGTACATATCTACTATCTACAAGCTATCTATCTCTATCTCTATCTACCATAAATACCAAAGAACCAACGAATACTCGTATACCTTTGAAGGGGCAAAACAACGAGATCACACAGCTTCTTAGATAGGTATTGCAATATACTACCTACCTAGGTAATCATTGATGGGCAAAGATACCAAGCAAGAAGAAATGAAGTGAAATGAAATGAAATGAAATGAAATGTTTTCGAGGTTACTTATCACTTCACCGTATCATTCCATTTTACCTGCTACCCAGGGATTTTCAAAGTCTATTTGCAATCAATGAAAAGTACTCGAGATAATAGATAGATATCCAGATACCTCCCTAGTACTGTAGCTCGATGGAAGATATAAAGTTCTCTCTGCATACCTACCTAGCTATCTATTACATATGACAAAGCAGCATCAGTCGTAGGCTGAGGCTAAGGCCACTTATAGATTAGTCTATCAAAATTCTTGATATGATTGGTTCAAATTCAAATCGTCCACTTTTTTCTCTCTTCTCTATCGAACCTTACCTCTCTGTCTCTCCTCTCCTCTCTCTCTCTCTCCCCCCCCCCTCTCCAACTTATTATCATTATTCCTCTCCCAATTCTACTACTCTTATTATATTTCCCTCTTCCCTCTTCACTCTTCACTCTTCACCTCGTTCCGTGACCACTCGGAAGAGAATTGGGGATCAATTATCATCTGATTCGAAATCGACTAACTCATATATCTCTTTAATATCTTTACTTTTCCAATCCTATCCTATCCTGATCTATTACTTCTTCCTTTTTTCTTATTAATCTTCACTCTTCACTCTTCACTCTTCACTCCTTATTTATTTTTTGTGGCGAATCCTGCTTCGTTCAATTCTCTCCCCCCCTTCAAGCTTTCTTCCAGCTCCGACCATTCAACTTTGAATACCAGAAAATAAATAAAGAGAGAGAGAGAGAGTGTGTGTGTGAGAGTGAGAGTGAGAGTGAGAGAGAGAGCCAGAGTGAGAGAGGAAAGAAATATTAGAAACACTCCCGGTACCTAGAAAACGCACCTTCCTCTCGGAAAGTAGTTTACATCACGCCCTGCGTATTTTTCAGTCTCTTCTTCTTATTATTTGCAACACACCCCCCAGAAACCCACCTTGGAAACTTTATACAAATTACAACTACAAACTACAACCCATACATAAATCACTACCACTACCCACCCCATTTCGATTAATTGAAAAGCCTCGTCCACGGTATCAGTATCAGTTACCTTTAATAATTGCATGGTGAGTATCTTCACTTGCGCAATCTCATCCCAAACAAGAGCTTTTCAATCTTCCTCTTCCTTTTGGTCCTTCAAGAACCTCCAGACGCTATTGCTTCTCGCATCAAACAAGCCCCCGGAGTTTATCGCATTTGGCTTCCACTAAAAAAGGTCCCCCCCCCCCAAGACGCAGACACAGATATCTCAGTTACACCAAAATTCACACCTTCAAACCCCATTCAATCTACATCAAACTGGCGCGCCACGTACAGTTACAATAACATACAAGTGGGAATTTTTTCAAACGATAGTTTTCGGTTTCGTTCAATTCAAACCGTTCTGCCGTGCGACATTTCGCCTTACAACCGCTTCGCGTCAGAGAGCTGTGGCTGACGGACGGTTTTTCTTCTTCTACACGAGTGTTGGATTGTAACATCCACGCTCATCTTCGCTTATCACTACTCGATCGCGTTCAGAGTCTGCGACGATGAATAACGTCAATATGTCTGGTATGCCAAATATGGGTGGCCCTGTTGGAACTGGTATCCCTATGATGAATAATGGGGTACCCGGTGGAGCTGCTCGACATCCTACGATGAAAGATGGGAACACTTTTAGCCCTCGATCGCAACTTAACACTTACATTTACGAATATTTTCTCAAGAGTGGCATGTTTGATTGCGCCAGAACAATGTTGAATGAACAAATTAACGTCCAGAAGGATAGCCCTAATCGGGGCGACGCGGAAGAGGGAGATGATTCCAAAGATGATATCGATTCAAAGAGGCCCAGTGATCTTCCTCTACCAAACCTTCCCAGGGAATCTCCTGAAAGTGGCTGTTTTCTCTACGAATGGTTTTGCCTTTTCTGGGAAATGTTCAATGCTCAGCGTAACATGGGGGAATCATCACGTACCGTTCTTGCCTATGTCACTCATACACAGGTATGTCAACCATTGGAGATTCACTAGAAGCATTAACTAAATTCTCGATAGCAAACGCGCCAAAAGGCAGAGCAACAACAGGCTTCGCTTCGTGCTCTCAATCCAAATGGAATGCATCCTGGTGCAGCCTATGGTCGTATGAACCCAGCTATAATGCAAAATGAAATTGCACGACAAGCATTGATGAACGGGGGTAGAGGCAAACCGTGAGTAGTCATTTTTGCTTGTCGTACCAAAGCTAATCAATCACTGCCACAGCACTCCACAGCAGATGCAACAGATGCAGCAAATGCAACAGATGCAGAAACAACAAGCAATGCAGAGAGAACCTTCAGACGGCAACCATCCACAACGAGCTCAATCGCCAGGAGGATCTGCCGAGAACGCTCCATCCCCATCCAAGCGACCACGAATTGAAGGACCCGGATTCAATCAACCAGGTGGTATGGGACCTAATGGAAGAGGACAAACTACTGGAATTCCAGGCCAACAGGTGGGAGAAACCGCCCCCAGCATTACTGCTCAAGCAGCTCATTTGCCACTTTCAAATGGTATCGATTCAAATCTGACAGCGCAGCAGTTCCAGGGTTTCCCAAATCAAAATCCACAAAAGAATCTTCAGGCATATCAGGCTGGCTTGTCACATCAGCAACAAAAGCAAATGCCTGGCGCAGCCGCTGGAGGCCCTCCCAACCAAGGATCGCCCATGATGACGCAAGGTGCTGATGTTAATGCAATGACTACTTATGGTTACGGCGCTGGTGAAATGGGTCAAAACGGTGTAAGGGGTGCTCCAGGTGGCCAACAAAGTGGCCAACAAGGTAACCATGCTTTGCAAGACTATCAGATGCAGTTAATGTTGCTTGAGCAACAAAATAAGAAGAGACTCATGATGGCACGCCAAGAACAGGGTGCCGCTGAGGGCCAAGGAGGCCCCGGAGGACCTGGCATGGGACCCAATGGACCCAATTTCCCACAAGGAACCTCACCACAAAGCGGTCCTCGATCAGTGAACTCGCCAAACCCAAGCGAGCAGCAGATGAAGCGAGGAACACCTCACATGAACAACCCAGGCATTCCATCTCCCCTACCCGAAGGTCAAAACAGAGGATCGCCAAGCGCAATGAACTTCAACATGGGACAGCCTGGGCAAATGGATGCCGGCATGAACCCACAATTCTACAAGATGAACGATATGAATGGTAATATGATGCAAAACGGCATGCGACCCCCTAGTTCCCACCCCGGATTCCCACAAGGAATGTCACAGCAGCAAATGATGATGGCACGACAGCAAGCAGGCAACTGGCAGAATGGTCCAAACGGCGGTGCTCCCATGGTTGCCAACCCTTCCCAAGGACCCCCACAAGCCATGGGCACACCTCAACAACGAAATATGCCTCCACCAGCAGCTCCCGCTAACGCCGGCGCGAACGGACGAACACAACCATCGTCCCCTCAAGGTAGCACTGCTGCACCTCCAACGCCTCAGCAATCGAATAAGGCAAACCCCAAGAAGAAGAATGAGACCAAGGAAACAAAAACAAAGGTAAATTTCTTAGCGTTTAATGGATTTTTTGGTAGAAATGTTGACATTGATAACAGCGGGCTACAAAGAAAGGATCCGCCGCAAACCTCAACGCTGGTGCTACACCCTCCGCCGACCCAACCCAAGAAGCCGCGACCCCCACCCCAGCGACCCCGATCACCCCGGTTCACACGAAGACTTTCAACAATGTTCCAAATCCAAACGGTGCCGTTCAGCCCGTCAACGGTCAACCTATGGCGACTGCCCCGAACGTTGGAGTTGCATCGTCGCAGCCTGATCCTCTGAATGCATTCCCAATGAATGATCAACCGGTATGCCTATCACATGTCATTTCTTCTAGGTTCCACTAATAAAATTTCAATAGTTTGATATGCTCGAGTTCAACAATCCTATGAATGGAAATTCGGATGTTCTTACCGACTTTGACTTTGATTCATTCTTGAATGATTCTACTGGTGGCGCAGATGACAATTATAACTTTGATCCTTATCTAGGAGAAAATGAAATATCCGAGACTGTTTGAAGCAATTCAGGTGCATAGGGTCAATTTTCCGGCGTTTTCGAGCATACTTTGGCGTTTATCGGATCATACCACTTCGAGCTTTCCTGGCGCATGGACTCTCAAATGTGAAAAAGAATCTGGAACTTCAGAAAGGATTAGAAAGGGGTAGTGGTTGTTGCAAGTGTTTAAAAAAAAAAAAACTCCTTTTACATAAGACATGACACGATCGTGTGACGTTGGATAGGAATCAATGGAGGGGAGTGGTTTTCATTTTGTGTTTACGCTATTTATACTTTTGATCAGTCAAAGGACGTACTTAATTACTTGCCTCATATTATGACTTTCTCGGCATATTTTTACTGGGCAAAGTTATGAGATGGGAACCGGCGTTACTTTGTTTAAATGATTAGTCTATCTTGTTTATTATCCACCATATTTCTTTTGCGTTGGAAGGGATATTGGGATCTCTTGGGGAAAGGGAGGAATCCTGTGTATTTATCATTGATGGGTCCAGTTATCTCTCTCTTTTATTACAGGGCGGGTTTTATCACTAGGAGACTCGAGAAGACGTTTGTTTATTTTCCAAAGCAAATTTGGAGTAAGACTATTAACATATTTTTTTTTATCAATGATTGAATGTTTTTTTTAGTAGAGTGATTGTATTATATCTGAAGATGAAAGGGAGTATCAACTATTAACTTTTGTCGCAATTTGCTTAAGGGTCATTCATATTAAGGGGCTCGGTAATGCAAAAGTTGTAGATTGATCTGCTTAGGTGCAGCACGGATTATATTGGAGTAGTGGGGATGGTGGGTGGGTGGGTGAGTGCTATGCATGCATTGCAGTGCAGCACAGTGCAGATTTTTTTTTTGGATGACTTTTGCCCACTCTTTTTTTGCTTCGTTTGTTCGTTGTATGTGCTTATTTGGCGGGAATACAAGTGTGCTGATTAGAACATTTTATGTTATGGTAAGGAGATGAGAGATCGGGAGTTGTTGCTTGTTTATGATTTTCGAAATTTGTGGTTGGTGTTGTTGGTATGGTGATGGAAGTGTGAGAATTGGGAGAATTGGGAGAATGGATGGAGATGTTTATATTTATCTTTGTGGATTGGGATTGTATTTCATTGAATGGAGGTATGGAGGGAGGGATGGAGGAGAGGAATGTTTGGATGAGTGTGTATTTGTTCTTCTGAGGAGGGGAAAAGGAAGAGGGAAGGGGAAAGGGGAAAGGGGAAAGGGGAAAGGGGGTATGATGTCCTTTTGAATTTGGGGGGGGGATGAAGGGAATGAATGAGAAAATGGAAGGATAGTGGGGGGTTGTTTGGCTTGTTCTATGTGTGCGAGAAGAGATCAGGAATAAGGGGTAATGTTGTTTGGATTTGGGTTTGGATTTGGATTTGGACTATGGATTTCCCGAGGGGATTTCATGTGTGGGATGAGGGTAAGAAGTTGGATGGATGGAGATGGGGAGGGGCTGGGGTCATAGGGTTATGGGGTTCTGAGAGAGGTATAGGGATGGAGAGATGCAAAGATGGTTGGTGGAAGATCTAGATCTGGAGTGGAATGTTGGGAGGGCGAAGTGGTGTTTGCGGGATGGGGTTATGGGAGAGGACAGGAGAGATTTGAGAATCGGCGAGGGAGGTTCGAGGATCAGAGAGAGGCGTAACAGGAGGGGAATAACTTGAAGATGTCTGTAATGTGGATGAGGTATGATGTTGTGGATATGAAGTTGGGATTTGGGGGTGATGAGGAAGATTGTGATATTAGAGGTTACGCGTTCTCGGGATAAAGAGGGGGGGTATTCGTCTTTAAATGTGAGTTTCTATTCTACTCTTTGTTTTTGGCACTTCTTGGAAACTCCATCTCTGAATAGCTTTCGGAGTCTAGTGAAGGAAGGGGAGAGCAGAATATTCATATTTTTATGAGGTATTGAGTGGGTCAAGAGCCAGGATACTAGAATTGGATCCAGGGGGATGAAAGGTGGTGTTTGGTGAATGTTCAAGTAAGTATATATATTTTAGTAGGTGGTGGAATGGGAATCGCGGTATTTATGGAGTCTGTAAGAGGGCTGAGATTTTCTGATATCTCTGCTGGTAAAGCTCTCATGGCGACGATTAGAGATTTTGTCTCTGGGCTAGGCTTGTGTGAAGAGTTTGATCATTACTACTGGGATTGTAGGAAAGCTGGCTTTGGTTTTGATTCTTGAAAGGCTGGAGTTTGATGCTGTATGGATTGAGAGATTTTGAATGTGCTACGTGTAATCGTAACCGTGTAGGAGATAGGTAATAAGTTAAAGATGCAGTGGTGAAGCTTGAGGAACGGTGCTTTCATTTCCCATTTGAAGTATCGAGGGGAACCATGACAATATATCCAACTACAAATCCCCTCGTATGGGAATCTTCCCTCAAAATACTCTCAACACTCCTTAGGTTTCTCAAAACAAAAACTCACATCTTCATCCTCACCCCAGCATTCCCCGCCAATCACGTGTCCAATCCATAAGCTGACTAATCATCATCATAACCAAAAACTCCTCAATACCCAACTAGCATCAAAGAATATTCAAGCTCGCTCCGCAACAAGTTCTTCCTCTCAAACACACACCCCTCCAATCCACCCTCTCTGCGCATAGAAACCATTCAAAACATCTCACACACTCCACATCCACACGATCTCAAAACTTCCACAAAATGGCACCAAAAGCCCAACGTGTTGTCGTCGAGCGCGCCGGCCGTCGCCCCGCTCAACCAAAAGGTTATTTCGCAAGCACGTATACTGCGTTGACGGCGCCGGAAAATGCAAGTGTGGTTAGGAGTATTGGAGTTTTTGGCATTGCGGTTGCGTTTTTTTCGAGCAGTTGGAGCGAGTATCTTTTGCCGCCGTGAGTACTTTCTTTCTCTTTTTTGTTTTTGGTGGGATGGGATGGGGAGGGGAGGGGACTTTAGATGTGGATTGGGATTGAGACAGGGTTGGGCTAATAATTTGCGGTGTAGTTTGTAAAGAATGAATGGCGATGGCGATTGAGAATGCTATGGGAATGAAATATCGATATGCGGAATCGATATGGGAAAGGCGAGAGATGATGATGAGAGGGGATACCTTAAATGACGACAACAATGTACAATGGATTAGGTCGCAGATGAAAATACAGCAGTTGGTGGAAGAAATGTATGATAGGATGGATGCATGAAGGACGGATATGAAAACGATGGGATGTGATATCGCGAGGATGGTCCAGAAAACTCGGAATCTGTATACATCGGGATGGAAACGAGGCGTTGATACTTATTATGAATGGATCTCTACTTCCTCTATACACTATTATTGGATGCGATTGTGATTTGTAATTGGAGTTTCTTGTGAGATGTGCTTGTGATGTGCTTGTGGTTGTGATTTGGCTAGGTGAGGGGCTAGGTGCGATTGTTTTCATGGAAGGAGGGAAGAGTGGAAGTGGCGAGGCAAATTATAAGTCTATGGAGTGAGTAATGCTGAAAGTGGTACTGATTTATACTGGGATAGAATTCAATATGGTAATGAAAGCAAGTGCTTTTATGAAACCCAAGTCTGAGAAATCCAGACAACTCTTGTGACATAATGGGAAGGGCAATCAGTAACCTCACATCACAGGTTATATTACCAGTGATTCATCTTATACATCCTCACGCTGTCTATCATAATCCTACGAATCTGAAACAAAAGCATAATCATCAAGCTCGTCCTGGAAACAATCGCGAGTGAGGTTTTCGACTAGGCTCAAAGCTAGCACTCTGTTTCCATACACGAAGCATCCAATTCCGGCACTCTTCCCGCCCACATACCATCCGAAGACTCTGCACTACTCATAATGAACCGATAGTTTAACTCATAAAATCGTCTTCTGTCATCCCGACGATTCGATCGCGCTCTATATATCATATCTCGTTCTATTTTATCATCGAAACTTGAGTAGAGTGGGTATCTACTCAATAAGTATATCTTTAATTGTTTATTTATCTCTTCAAACTTTATCTTCATTCAATCTCATTCTCTCCAACCTCCGACCTCCAACCCAACCCAGCCCCCCATCCCAACCTGCCATGCCAATCCATTACATCTACAAATATCACCACGAACACCAGCCTCGTAGGATACCAGATAGATACTCCTCCAACCTTCCATACATCTCATCTCATCTCACATCTCACATCTCACATCTCACATCTCACAATCCACACCCCCATCCTATAAGTGCCAAACTGAAACCAAAACTAAATCTATATTACAAATTATATAAAATTATATATATATAACAATATACCTACCACCAAATATCTAATGCTCAATATACACCATTCACTATCCAACCGAAAACGTATGTATAGGATGTTCTTTGATGTTCGCTTCTGGAGTTATTGATGAAAGAGAAAGAGAAAGAGAAAGAGAAACTACCAAGTACCAAGTAAAAAATAAAATCCGCTACTGATTTACCCATATATCATCTACCTACCTAGCTACCTACCCACCCATCCCGCCAGCCCACGAAAGAAACAAGATACTTCTCACTCTCTTTCCAATCCATTCCGATCGAGTTCAAGCCCCAACCCCAACCCCAACCCCAACCCCAGTCCAAGTCCAAGTCCAGCTACAGCTACGGCTACGGCTACAGCTACGCATTGAAAATATATCTAATCTCTTCCACTCTTCCACTCTTCCACTCTTCCACTCCCCAACTCCCCAACTCCCCAACTCCCCAACTCTCCAACCCACAAAGAAGAAAGGAGTCCTCAACGCAACTTAGAATCTGTTTGTAAATCGCCAGACCCAGACCCAGACCGAGACTCAGATCTCTTGTACACATATACATATATATATACCTTGATAGATAGAGTATATAATCTCCCAAATAACCTCCCAACAAAATAAAAAAAACACATCACATTTTTATAACCAACCAACCAACCAACCAACCAACTGACTGACTAATTGACTCGCACGCAGTCACTATCCATCTGTATGAGTTTAGCGAGCCTCCGTAACTTGCTTAAATAACCCCCCCCATACTATATCTATATTGCTTCACATCCATGCATCCTCATTCTCCCCTCTCTCCTTCCATCTTCACGAGATACCTGCCCAAGTAAATACTTCATCACTCTGACTTTCATCATCACATTTAAATTCATAATCATATTCAGCCACTTGAACCCATGCCCAAATGTAGCTTTCAAATTGAAATTTTCTCTCTTCTCATTTCATTTCATTCCGCTTCAATTCGCTACATAAATCTCATTCTCCATGCCTTTCATATTTCATCTCCTCCCTCTCCATTCTACACTCATCTCTCTCCACCCTCAAATTTCACAAACGTTGATAATGCAACCTTTCCAAAAGGCGAAGCATCAATCCTATCATTCTATCGTGCCAATGATTTATTCTCTCTCCATCAATCCATCCATATCTGTCTCCCATTCAAGTAACTTTCTTCAACTATCAAGAGGGTATGCGTGACGCCGATATGCGTTGTAAAGAAAAAAAAAAGGAAAAGAATGCTGATGTTGCTTTGTTTCCCCAATCCATCCCGCCAACCTCGCCCATTCCAATCTTTCAAACCATCCCTAACCCGACCTAAATTCCCTTCCGTTTCCCTATCAAAGCGACCCACATCCCACCACCCAATTCCCACCATATGCACACCACACCAGAATTAGAATGGGGTATATTATATAGATATCTGAAGTTGTATGCATTTTTCAACGTCCCGGCGGATAGTCATTGGTATTGAGCCAGCAACGGAGAATTGCATGAAAAAATTAGATAAAAAGAAGAAATGTGAAGTGAAGTAGTGAAAAGATAAAAGATTCGATGTGTTCCTTTGTGTTCGTACATCAGTCGTAATCGATCGAATGCGTGCGAACATCTCAATCATCATTGTTCGTGCAGCCTCCGAAGTACCACCTTAAGCAGTTTGTGGTTCTGCAACATCAATATCTGGCGAATAGGTATTACTTATGCCCGCACTTTCCGGTACATGACTAGTCCCTGTATTCGCACTCTCTCGCTTCGAAACCCCAGAGACGCCACTATCACCCTCGTCGCGATCGAAGATGATACCATGTATATTTAGACCATGCTTATCGCTTGCCGGAGTCTTCAAAGTCTCCTCTTCGACCTTTTCATCAAGGTTCATCAGTGCTGGAGGACGGTGTCGCATCTGTCGGGCTTTTGCAAGAGAGATAGTCTTTTGTTGATAAGTTGTAGTTATAGGTTTGGAATCGTCTCGGTCAATGGTAGCTTTCATCAGTGCAGCCATCCATAATCTACCCTGTTTGATATTCGGCACTGCAAAGTAGTGCACGGTAGGTTTGGTGAAGTTGACAGCTCTGGAAAGACCAGCTCGTGGTGGAACGAGTTTGAAAATGAACATGGAATCACCGCCACTTTTGCTCAACGTGGATTCTGGTTCGGCATCTGCCTCCGCTGATGCAATAGTTCCTTGTGCATTAATAGGGCTTGTAGGGCTATTCGTTGCACCGGTGAGAGTGGCATGAAGACCAGTAAGGCGATCAGTGTCGGCTGGCAAGACTCGATGGAATGAAATATCGATCAATCCTTTCTCTTGATCATCGGTCTCGGAGTAGTAATATGACAGCCGGCGGCCCTTCAACACAAAAAGTCTAGGCTTCCATGTTGTCATGAGATTTGAACTTTTCTTTTTCATCCATCCACTGTAATCTGCACCGACCATCTGTTCCTGCGGCGTTTTCTTCTCGAGCCCCCGCGTATAGGCACTAGTTTCCTTCTTGGACTTCTTTCTCGATGCTTTGGGATTAATCATAGCCGTCTTATCATCTGCAGGATCAAGTTCAAAGCTTGGGCCGGCTGAAGGTGTGCTCGAACCAGTTCTTGAAGGCGATTGAAGCGGTGATTCTTTTGTTGAGGATGATACCGTGTCTGTTGGTGAAGTGATACGGGATTTCTCACGGCCGGTGACAGCATCAGATATTGCGCGCATGCTGAAATGGCTAGAGGATCCTGTTGGTTTAACAGGTAACAGCCGGTCGTTAGGGTAATTTTGTTGGAGACTTGGTGATTTGGGCGACATCATACTATCCATAGATCTTTCTGGTTGAAGTCTGGTAACGAGTGGGAAATCGTCCTTCGGGGGTGGTACTGGTCGAGGAGGTGAATTGACGGAACTTTCAGAGGGAGTTCTTCGACGACCATTTACAGATAAGCCGTAATACTTTTGTGCCGCGGTAGGTGGTGTCGTCTCTCTCACTGAATCGACGCTACCAAATCTTGAATGTCTTGAATTTGTTGTGGCAGTCCTTAATCTTTGCTCATCAGTGTAACTAGAATTTCTAGAGTGTCCAGCTGTGCTACCTCTCTTACGTAGCACGTTCCTCTGCCGACCCTCCAATTCACCACCCGAGAAATATCCTCGATCAATATCTAAATTAGTTGGGGGGGCTATAATTTCAGATGGCTGATCAGCAGATCCCTTGGTGGTAATCTCCGTGAGACCAGCCGACGATAACGGGCGATTCGAGGATAAAGGTCGTTGGGACATGGCGGATGTCGCATCACCAAGTGACCAATCTTTGTTAAATGAGGCTTGTTTCCGGTGTGAAGATACACCTTGGGGTTTATCTGCTGTGATTGTACTCATGAGTGAATTAGTGGTACTGAATTCACCAACCGAACTTTGCCTAGAGTGATGTAAATCCCTGATTGATGCAGCAGAAGGTCTCTTTTCCCCTGGAACTCTTGGACTCCCTTGCGGGGTTTTGGGAGATATTGGAGATGAGGTTGTGACAGAGTCGTTTCTTGAGGGACGCTGATGAGATTGCCGAGCATTATTTGATGATGACCCGGGCCGGTTGCTCAGACTGAGGTTTCTTGGTAGCATTGTCGATGAAGCACCACTACGAACGCGGCGGCCGCCATCTTCAGAGCCAATTTCACTAACAGCATATGTACCAGTGTTCCTTCTTGTTGGCGTTTCACCATTTACTTCGTCTTGGAGGGCTTTTATCTTTTGCCATGTTTTGAGTCTTCGTCCAACAGAACCTAATTCAAACTCCTTTAAGAAAACCGATGTTTGGTCCATGCCCAAAAGAACATCCCCAGTGATTTCTTGATCTCGAAACACTTCACAGTGCTTCTTATCAACTCCTACAGTAAACAAGTATTCTGCGACTTGCTCGGGTGTCCATATATTAACCTCGTCGAGCGTGTGTATGTCTTCCTCTTCTTCATCCGTTTCCTCACCATTGATATATGACATTCTTGCATCATTGTGATGGCTACTATATTCGCTCCCCGAATCATTGATCGATTTCGGTACAGAACCAACGATATGGTTCATATCTATTATGTGCTCGTCAATCACACTCAAAGTTTCGTTCATGACTGGACTATCCTGACCGTGGACATGAGATTTCGCAGCCGAACTCGCACTCACTGCGCTCAGTGGTGGTATTATTTTGGGGGTGACGTTTGTTGGAGATTCAATTGAAGTTGGAGATGAGGATAATCGACCTGCAGACAGGATATCTGAAATATCTCCTGCAGTCTCGGGCAGAGCTGTCGTCTCAACAGAAGGATTCTGCGCAATCGTTTGAAGAGGCTTTTGAAGGGATGGTTGAGGCAGCGGATTTTGCAGAACTCCGGGTTGAGACATCGAAGTTGTCGAAAAATTTGGATGGGAAGGGTTTCCACGAGGAGCTAATCGGGTATAGACTTTTAATGATATATCAGTTTCGATACCCAATGCGACATCAGTTCCTGTGTGGGAAGCTTACCTTCTGGGAATAAACCACTCGAACCATTCACCAAACTCCTTCCAAGGTACCATCCGTCCCCAAATTCGTCATCTCTCTCTATTAATTCGACCCGATCTCCTTTTGATAAGCTGAGCTCATCAGAACTGCGGGCAGAAAAATCATCTAATTTAAACATTAGTGGCAGAACTCCCTTACATGAAGATTTATTGGAGCAATTTTGTATGTGTCTTCCACATCCATCATACTTCCACTCCCCCATGATAACCAAGGTAGATATAACTTACGAATTACAATCAAAGTTGAACCAGGCTCTGGTCGCATTGCATCTGGTCGATGGTTGGACTCCATTGTCCTTGGGGGTTCCATCTTGTTCAATTCTATCTATCCAGCTCTTTCAATAATTTCTTGTCCTCCCAAGGATCCTTTACTATTTACAAAATAACCATCGGAACTCGTTTGTGGTATGGATCTTTTGAGTTGATATATGCTTATTGATTGAAGCCCGGATGTCGTCGCAGAACGATCGTCTGAAATTTGAAGGATGGTTGACTCGAATTTTATTTGCAGAGGTGTGTTTTCGGGTTGCATTAACAACAACAAAAGTGAATTTGTTGTCGCAACATGAGTAGCAGGTATAGTACAACCAGTGATAGGTTTATTAGCTGGATGGGTGTTTGGTGCACCACAATGTGCAAAGCACAGGAATGGATAGAGGATAAAGTCCTGATAAAGTGGATTTGGAGGTATCTTTGAATCAGGGGGACATAATTGAGTCGTGCAATATAAAATAGAGATTGAAGTGATGGGTGAGTGAGTGGATGAATGTTATCTGGAGAGAAGTAAGGTAAGGTAAGGAGTGAGTGAGTGAGTGAGTGAGTGAGTGAGGTGAGTGAGGTGAGTGAGTTGAGTGAGTTGAGTTGAGATGCGTGAGTTGAGTGAGTGAAGAGAAGTGTGATAATGATAATAAAAAATAATGGAGAATTGAGTGGTGGTGGTAGTGGTAGTGGTAGTGGGAGGGGAGGGAGGGGAGGGGATTGAAAGTCGAAAGTTGAGATTGGAGATTGGAGATTGGAGAGTTGAGAGTTGTCGGCGTATCGCAATGCAAAGGGTACCTGGTAATGTATGTACTTCGTCGCTACTAGTTGGCTGTATGTATAATATATATCAAGGGCCTATAACTATATAATATTATATAATATCAAATTTCTATAAGTTTATGGTTTTTTTCTTTCTTTCTTTTAGTTTAGCAAGTGGAGTATGATTTAAGTGAGTTTTGGGGATTAGAGATTTGAATTTGTTGAAATATTGGTCTGTGAGGTTAAGGGAAGTCTAAAAAAAGGAAGAAAAAGTATGGGTAATTGGGCTCGACATTTACTTTCAGCTGTTACGAGTAGAGCATTGGATTATGAATATGAATATGAATATGAATATGAATATGAATACATACCTGGTAAGTAATGAGCAGAATGGTAGATAGATGATAGGTAAGTGAGGATAGGATAGGATAGGATAGGTAAGTGAAGTGCCTCGAGAGTGCTCACTCACTGCTTTGGGAAAGTGGGTGACAACCTGGAAGTGTAGGTAGTAGGTACCTAGTATATAATATATAATATATAATACATAATATATAATACATAATATATAATATATAATACATAATACATAATACATAATACATAATACATAATACATAATACATAATACATAATACATAATACATAATACATAATACATAATACATCCTAGATACCGCTACGGAGCAATAATGCATCATGCTTGGTTGGAGAAAGAGCTGACTTAGCCTCACCTGACTGATTTGCTTAGTTACATATCATACATCTGCAATGTCAGAACCCAATTGGCGGATGCGTGTTATATACCTAGTATCCATCACTCTCATCATCTCACCCACGCGTCTACTGGTAGTTTTGCTTTTTTTTTTTTTTTTTTTTTTTTTTTTTGGAATTACCTGCTATGTACGAAGTATTCTAGACGGGAGTCTGTAAGGTTACTCACTCTATCTCTAGGTTTTCTCTGCTTCTCTCTATCGACCTACCTAGTGCGTACTTAGTATCCATCTTGATCTGTATCTTGATTTGTAGAAGCTATTTGTAGAAGCTAGAGCCCAAGACATGGAAGGCAACCTGTACTCTGGACTCTGGAGTCGTCTGTACCATTCATTCAATTGACCATGACCCTTACCCACAATCTTTGCCGCTTACAACAACCAACCGGAGACCTATAAATATGAATGAGTTCTTCCATCAACTTGATCCCCCCTCCCCTCCTCTCCTCTCCCCTCCCCAGTCTTTTCATCATCCTGGGAGGGGAATTGTGATCCCACTTCCCGGTAGTCTCGAAAAGAAAGCCATTGCGTTGCGTTGCCACCAATAGTCGACTTTCTCAAGTTATGATGTGGTAGATACCACGTGGATGTCAAATACTTGTTGGACTTATGGTGGTGGGTAAAAAGATCAAAAGATTCATTCTTTATCTGCTATTATACTGGTGCAGTACTTATTGTAGATATTAATAAGTGTGTCTGTCCCCTCTACCTCTATTGTGATTGATTCAATCCCGAATCCATGCTTCTTCCAAGTTCTCAATGCATGCCTCAAACCTCCAATACATAGCATAGTAGTCACGAGGGAATACTATCCCGTATGCTATCTACGCTCTAGTAGTGCCACCAATATATCCAGAAAGGATCATAGCCACATGACCAAATCACTTCTTATGGCCTCCAGCTTTTCATTTTTCGCAATTTGAATGCTACATAATATCATTCCAATTATGCACGCAAGAGTGTACAGCATTATTCCTCTCTAGGCAGATAGATATATTCTACGAAGTACATATGAAGTAACACGAGCTAATACGAAGTAACACGAGCTAATACGCAATGGAAGCAGGCTAGAAAGAGGTGAGCGGGTTATATATTGTTCATATTAGATAAATCCTTTACTATACAATGTAATAATCTTCACAGTCTGTGGAGTCTATATCATAAAGTGTGTAAAGTGAGTAGTAATATCTGTAATGGCTGTAGAGTCTGTAACCTTAATGTCTGTTTGTAGCCCCTCATTCCCCCTCAACCTCTCCCTCATGTCATGAACCCATCGTTGCTTGAATCTTGACACTTTTCAAGAAGAATTATATTACTATGGAAGTGACTGACTGCTATGTACCTAGGTAGGTATTCTATCCTTGTGTCTTTCTATTCTTATGTCTTTTTTCTCCTTCGGTCTTTCTGTCCTGTCCTTCTGTCCTTCTGTCCTTCTTCTATCCTCCTATACTTCAACCCTCTTGTCCTTCTGTTCATGTCATCTATCCAGTAGACCTAGGTACCTAAACATCTCAATACCTACATAAATCAATACCAAAACCCATTCTTCAATAAACTCACTTACTAATTGATGATATTTCATCTCTTTCATCTCAATCAATCTGAATGAAAACATTACATCGTGATTAATATATTCCCATCCTCTAATAATATAGCACTTATAGATTCATCTCATCCTCATTGGTTATTATCGATTTCGACCTTACCTTGTAGAGTTTATCCATTCATTCACCTTTGAGGTTGTTTGTTATCAATACCTACATACTGCCTTCTCGATGCTGATGCTGATACTGATACTGATACTGAACCTCACCAAACATCCATTCACCAACCTCGACTTGTCTGCTTCACACTACAACAATTTTTGATAAGCAACCTCTTCAATTTACTTTGAATTCTGTTGTCATATTTCCTGTCATAATTTAATTCCTTCCTATAGTGAGAGAAAGAAGGAAAGCAAATATCACATGTCCCTTACGGCAATCCTTGTTCAGAACATCTCATCTCACATACCATAGTATGGTACAAGACAGGGCTTGATTCCTTTTTCTTTTTCCACAAAACGAACTTCTCGAGATCTGGAACAGAGGGTGTGGACGTGGGTGAAGGTAAAGGCGAGGGATTGAGGAGAAAATATTCAATACACCTTCATACATGAAAGGTCTCTAATGCTTTTCAAATCTACCTTGAATTGTGACCAAGACGAATTCAATGAATTCTCGACAGCGTCGAACTTGAGACATGCGCCGACCGCCCGATAAAGAGGGCAATTCTGCCATGACCGAACGAGATGTTGTCTCCTCTAATGCCACATTAAACGCCTTTTTGGGCGGGTCTCGACAAAAATCTTGGATGATCGCAGGAGGGGCACCAGTTCGACCGACTCCACGACGTCCTAGCATCACTAAACCGTCAGATCAGAGCAATGCGAACAATCCTCAAAGGTACGCTACATCTAATTCACTGACGGAACACCACACACTCGAGCACAAAAATATTGTATCAAGTGGCTGGCGCAAAGGGCTACTTATTCATAGATAGATATGGACGGGTATCCCGTGGGCTTCACACTGATTAGAAGTTCGCATCATTGCCATGGGCCAGGTATCCTGGCCCTATCTCCAGATGTTGTTTGCGACCCTTGAGTGCCTGCTTGTATCATGCACACGTCACAAACAAAGCTCCATTCAATGATTTGAGGCTAATTACTGTAATCTGCAGAACTTCGACCACTACTTTACTTTCGCCAGTAACAAGCAACGAATCATCGAGTCCCGAACTGGTGCAAAATTCTGTCCCTCTTCAAAACACACACACCGCTTCCTTCTCCGGCACGCATGGTTCTTCGAGAGTGAATGCCACAATTGCAACAAGTCAAGCGCTGCAAGAAGCATGTATTACACCTTCAAATCCCGATATTGCCCAGCCACGAGTTCTCCCTGATGCAGCGAGAGGCGACCCCGACGAATCTTGCACAGTGACAATATCTGCAAGGCCTCCTTTGTCGGAAGAAATTTCCCAACTGCAGAGCTCAGCCGACATCACTTCGACTGGAAACTCATCCCGGGATTCACTGCCCAAGTCCTCTTCAGACCCAAATATAAACAGTCGGGTACCATCTGTTATCAAAAGGAATTCAGAAATATTACCAGCCGTCCAGGGTCAAGGGGATCACACAATGCTTTCTTCTCATGCACAGCGTCCTCAACGGCAACCGTCATGTCGCGCTACCATGCCTTCTTTGAAGCCCCGTGCTGAAATGGTAAAGAGGTATATTGAACGATATGGGGGTATGGCCAGCCTAAATTCTGCGCTTGAAAAGCCAAGATTCAGTTTGATGGAAACTGCCTGCAAGTCTGATGATGCCCATTATGTTGCAACACATCAGCTGTTTTGTGTGTGGGATACAAGCCGTAAAGATATTACAGGCATAACTGAGCTTCCAGACTCAATGACTTTAACTCATGCGTTTCGGATACTTGGTCAGCTGATACGAGATAATGAAGGCATGGCACCAAACCACCTTCGATGGTTCGCTAATTTTCCAAGTCCATTTGCTGATTTGATGAAAAATTCCGAGCCATATAGACGAATCGTTCAAGAAGTCGGCACATTTCTGTCAAAGTTGGTTTCTAATTGGTCGGAACTAACGAGGATATGTACTAGCAGAGGTCACCCGCCGCTAGTCGATGAATTGATTAATGAATTAGGGCTGTTATCACCGACTTTACAGAATATTGTATTCACTGCGACTAGGCGCAATCTCAATATTGTGGATGATGAATATGGTAATGAAATGGAAAGAGTGTTTGAACAAGATAGGGCCGGACATAGAGAACTTACTGCTCGATATAATACTTCTCGACCACCTTCGGAAAAGGAGATTCAAGAGAGAACTAAAACCATAGTACAAAAGCATTTGATGATATCATTGAAAGCGCGCCAGAAGATGATGACAAACGTTGCTCCGCAACCTTCAACAGCAGCACCAGCGACTCTCTCGAGCATCGGCCCAACTTCAAGGATTTCAAATGCTTCATACCCTCATCTAATGGGATCGAGTTTCAATTCCAATCAGAATCTTCCTCAGCAAAATCATGCTCAGAATCGTCAAACTGGTCAAACTCCAAGTCAAATACGAACCTCGTCCACTAGACCTTCATCACCTTTAATGATGGCAAGTGCGACCGGCAGTCATCAAAGTATTACACCACGTACAAGTGTAGATACACCTGGTGCAATTCCCATACAAGCCTTATCTATGGGGTCGCCAGTCCAACAAGGATTTCAGTATTCGTCACCTATCATGCGTGGTAATGGCTCTCAATTCCCGCCATCGGTTTTGCAGAGTAATGGTTCTCAATCACCAATCACAGGACAAACTCGGGGACTTCCTCAAGGCCAATATAGTTTTGACCCAAGATTCGACATTAGACAACAACAACATTATCCACAACCATATATGCAACAGGCGAATGTCCCAGCACAGTATGGCCCAAACAATACCCAACAAATGAGTTCTCAACAGCTGCAACAAATTCAACTGCATCAGCAGCATCTACAACATCAGCAATATTGGCTACAGCATCAGATGTCTCAACAGCAGCAAGCCCAACATCAAGCTTTAGCACTGCAGCGTCAAGCTCATCCGAGAAGAGATAGCCATCCAATCAATGGTCAGCAACAACAGCAGCAAGTTTTATCAAGAAATGCTAGCAGAAATAGTACCAGAAATAATAGCGTTTCCGGCGAGCATATGTCTCCGTTGGTGAGTGGTCATATTTATGTTCGAAATAATTCTCAAGGGAACCAAGGTCCTCCGCACCCAAGGCCGATGACCATTGAAGAGCAAGAGTGCATACAAGACAGCAACATGCCTGATCCTATGAAAAGATCTTTCATTCCTCCCCTTGGTTTTATACATCCCCAAGGAATTCCAGATCCAGATATGAAAGCTCTTCATCAAGCAAATCTTCGCAGTCCTCGTCTTGTTACTATCGATACACCTAACCTTGGGTGTGATGGCGTCTCTCGCAGGTATTATCAATTTGTGAAAGACTTTCCTATGGCTCCAACGAAGATCCCCTTCGAATCCTCACTCAACAGATTGGAGTTTCAGATTTCTGCCGACGTATTGACGCGTATTTCTTGTGATAAATTTGTTGCCAAAGACTGTCTAATGGTTCGAGAAGTCAAATCGCGGTCTCTTCAATTTCGACTGAGATGTGTATCAGCTGTCGCAGATGCAAATGAAATCCCAGTTTCGAGATGGGTTGTTTCGGATACGGTGTGGCCCGAAATGATCTTCATGGATATCAATAGCCACGAGTTAGAGGCTAGACGCAAATGGCACCATGGGAGAGATCTTCCAATCGATATCACGCCTTATGTAAATCCTGGAACCAACGAGATTACAATATCGATGCCCAAGTTACCTACAACAACTAAAGAAAAGGAATATTTTCTGGCTGTGGAAGAGATTGAGATTTTACAGCACAATGAAATTATGGACAGGTGTAAAGAACAAAGCATTCCTGCAGCAACGGTCGTTGAAGAGATTAAAAAGAAGCTTGCGGGCCCGACGGAGGATGACGATGAGCTTTCGATAGTAGTCACTGATCTTTCCATTGGTCTTACCGATCCTTTTACCTCGACAATCTTTGAAATTCCCGTTCGCGGTAAGAATTGTTTGCATCGGGAATGTTTTGATCTCGCGACCTTCCTATCGACACGCCCAAGCAAGCCGAAACGACCGGATCAACCTTGTATGGTTGACGTTTGGAAGTGCCCGCTGTGCTCTGAGGATGCACGTCCATACAGCCTCCGGTACGATGAATTCCTAGCTTCTGTGAGAGACAAACTACAGGAACAAGATAAGCTTGACGTGAAAACCATTCTAGTCGCGGCGGATGGTACTTGGCGTCCAAAGATGGAGTCGCAACCTTCACATAAACGAAAGTCTACCACTGATGACGATGACGACGATTTGATAGATGAAAAAAGGCCAAGGAAGAAATCAACAAATGACGTTAAGCATGCCGAGGTAGAGATAATTGAATTGGACGATGATTAAACTTTTCTTTGCTTGGTTTTCGTTACGATCACACATGAATACACGAGCACAATGCGGCGTGGAGTTTTGCAAAATTGACCAGCTATTTTTTGGGTTGGATGGATTAGCTTCTTTGCATAGGTGCTTATTAGCGGCGTTGATTTTAGGGAAAATGGATGGAGGACGAGCACAACCCATCGTTTGGCGTACATTAATTTTTGCTACTTCTTCATGGTAGGGCGTTCTCAACTTATTTCGGAAATCTCACAACATGGCTTTGGCGTATGAATGATCTGTTGAACGCGGCTGCGTAGGGTGTGGTTTTCTTAGCATGCGAGAACATGGCATGGAAGGATGGCATATGGTAGGGCATGGCTTTTTTTTTTTTTTTTTTTTTTTTTTTTTCACAGTGAAAAAATACCTCTAGATCATGAGTATCATGAAATTTGAATGGATGATCAGGGATTGGACTAATTTATTGCACCGGGTAATAGACTACTAGGTCTAAAATGGATGAATGGATGGAATGTGTACATTGTAATAATGAGCTGAGATATTTGGCTGCAAGACTTGGGATGCATTCATGTGAAGTAATTACAATATATGAGAATTGAATTTGTGAATTTTGAAATGTTGGAATGGGAATGGGAATTGTGGGATGAGTTAGGGTGAGGTTGTGAGGAAGTGATGTTATGAGGAAGTGATGTTTTAAATTTTTAGGTCTTTTTTGACTCTGGTATTAGTATTGGTATTGGTATAGTATTGGTATTAGTATTAGTATTGGCGAGAGATTAGGGGTGTGCTGGGTGTGCGAACTTATACGGTTTGGTTTACTACTTACTACTAGGTAGGTAGGAGGTAGGTAGGTTACTACACGATATGTGGTAAGTAAGTAAGTATTCTTTCATTCTATCTATCTACTTGTTTCATTCTACTAGACATTTCTCGGATACTATTATTGTAAGAGTTGAGGCCCCGGCTTATCGCACACCACTCATTTTTCGGTCTAATTTTTTAAAATTTAATAATAAATCAACTATATAATACAATCTTATAAAACTTGAGTATTATATAATAAATAGTAAATAATTCTCATATTTCAATTACATCTTCAATCTTGCAAATTAATCTCTTAGTATATAACCTGAAATCTAAGGGATCCATTTATTCTAGAGAATTTATAATTTATATTTCAATTTCTTTATAAAAGTAAATACAAATAATAGCTTTTTTAATTCTTCTTTTATTTATTACTATATTTTCTTAATTGAATTAAAATTTGAAAAGAAGGGTGGTTAATCAAAGTTTTGTATATTATACTTCAATCAAACTTTATAGATATATCTAGAATGCATCTTAGAATTATTCTTTATAAATATATATTTAGATTCTAGTTTATTAAATAATGAGAATATAATAAGCTTAAGGACTTATTGTATATATACTTTGGAGATAATGTCTTTATTGTTTTTAAATTTTTCTAAAAAAATCAATAGAGATTTATAGTTTTAGTTAATTGTATTCTATATTATTATTAATATTCTTTTTAATTGATATATTGAGTTAATATAATCAATATATCTCTTTTTATTAACTTATTTAGTAATCTATATTCTATTCGCTTTTTTCAATTCAAAAATGCTTTTATTCAATTATATAATTAATTTTTAATCTTTTTTTTTTAATTTAACAATAACAATATTATTAATTTTTTATTAATAATATTTATATACAAAATCTAATCTCTTTTTTGCTTATATTCTTAAGATAAAAGGCTTAGAATATATTATATATTTTTTATATCTATATTAATATAATTCCTTTTGAATTGTATATATCAAACCCTTAATACTAAATACATTTTTAATCTATTTAAAAGTTATTCTTCTTTTATTTCAATTTTAATAATTATTTTTATAATTCAATAAATCTCTTTAATAATTATTATAAACTTTTGATAAATCTTTCCTTTTCGAATTCTTTTAATTGAATTAGATTTAAATATACTTTTTATAGTAGATTGTGATATACCTAAATTTGAGATAATCTATTTCTAGGATTTTCCATTAATTCTAATTTAAATGACTTTAGAATATTAAGGAGTATATCAATTTTGATAAAATTTATAACTATTATTTTTATAATTATATTCAATATCTATTTTGAATTTGAGTTGAAAATAATGAATTTTAGAATAATAATTGAATTTTTAAAATAAGATGTGTAAAATTAGGTGACTATTCTAATCTTGCTTAAATGTGCGATAAGCCGGGGCCTCAACTCTTATAATAGAAATGGAGGAGCTATTTGTGGTTTGTAATGTGTATGTATGTATTTATATACTATATGATTAAATGATTGAATAATGAGAGAAATAATATAAAGAAAAAGGGGAGGGGATTATATAGATAGATCGATGTATATATATATAAATACATATGTATCTAACTAGATTCTGAAGATTTCGAATACGAATTAGACTGAGAGTTAGAGACAGACTTAGACTTGAATTGGAGGTGATGGGGTTTGAGAAGGATTTGCTTTTGCTTTTTGAAGTGCTGGAAGTAAAGTAAAGGGAGGAGAGCAGAAGGAGGATGTATAGATAAGGAGGACCTGTAGGGACCTCGGGAGGTGTTATGTATGCAGTAGGCCGTGGGTAGATGGTAGATGGTAGATAGGTGGGTGTTTCCTTTTCTTCTGCTTTCCGACTTCTGCTTTCTGCTTTCTGGGTGGTACTTAACAGGATAGGTGGGATACAATAAGATATGATGAGTTCAGAGGCAAATGAATACAAACACGGAGAAGGTATGAAGAAACTCCATTCGTGTCTGATGAGGAAGGAAGGAAGGAAGGAAGGAAGGAAAATCTCTCGACTCCTACACAATGCGCTGGGCAAGAGCAGAAGGGAAAACGGGTGGAAGGGAAAGGAAAGGGAAAGGAAAGGGAAAGGAAAGGGAAAGGAAAGAGAAAGGAAAAGGAAAAAAAAGGGAAAGAAAAGGAAGGAAGATAGATACAAAGATCATTGGAATTTCTGGCTCATTACTATAATTTTAATATCCATAGCTATTACTATTGCTGTTACTCAGGATCATAAGTAATTCAACGAAACCGATGTTGTTATAATATTCAGATTCTAAATTTCACTATCCAAAATCACGAATCCCTCCTTTCAAGCTTGGATCTGCAATCCAGCATCCCTCCCTCCCTCCCTTCCTCCCCTTTAAGCCATTAACCAACAACCAGCATCTCACTCTCCTTCCTCTTACAATCATGCCCCCCCTCCCAACCTCGGCTTCCAATCTCCGCCCCAACAAACTCCTCCAAAACCTCTTCATCAGCATCCTCTACCTGCTCACCATGATAATCACCCTCTTCAGCGTCCTGGTCATCGCCTCCACATGGACTTTCTTCATGCTGGATTATAATTTTGAGAATCTTTCCGTGACGGTACTTTCTGGGGTTGCGGAGGTTGTATTGGTTAGTTTTTTTTGTCCTTGTTCTTCATTTTCTCACCTTCTTTCTTCCTTTATCTTTTCCTGTCCTCTGTTACTTCAAACAATAATGAAAATCATCAAGACGACTTCGGTCCGAATCATGTATGTGCGAAAACATATCGTGTTGGAATATCTGGGGCTAATTTTTTTACGCGGTATAGAGCTCGGCTGACAGGTTATGCGATTTTGTGGGGTTGGAGATGACAGATGAAAGGTTTTATTATTTTGGGTGGGAGGAAGAAGAGGAGGAAGAGGAGGAGGAAGAATGGTGATGAGGCGATGTGCAGAAGAGTGATGTGTGCAGAGGGGTGTAGATTGGATAAGAGTGCATTATTGAGATGTATACCAGCGAGAATATATCAGCTAATGTGTAATGTATCAGCAAGGGGGACTCGATAAGCATTGTTTGAAATGCCTGATCAATGGTTGATTTAAGGACTAGCCACGGAAAATCAACTTGGAAGTATAGATAGAGACCAAATTTCGATATTATATTATTCATGTGACACCTTTCGTTATGAATAATCTACTATAAAATATACACGCACGTAACGTCTATGTATACTTCTCATAGGTTGAGGGGGTTGGATGTAGCGTTTCAATGTATGACAACTGCTGCTCATGATTTGAAGTATGAGGATAAGTCAGTTTTTGTTAAGGAAGACAATGAAAGTTGTGATTTCTAGGCTCTAGATTTTTAATAGAAAGAAGAGGGTCAAATACTGCGTAGTAACGCATCGTATTCTTACTTGTGGTATGTATATGGTAGGAAACTCCAAGAGAATGAATAAGCTACTGTACCTGATGATGTTGATGTATTGCGTTAGATTACAGTTTAAACACTCTAAAATAAAAGCTAGAAAACAAAACATAATACGACATAACACGACTCTGAGTAAGTAGAATATCCCTCCAGTCCCCCCCCCCCCCCCCCGATAAAAATTATACGGTAGTGTGAAACCCAAAAGACAGTTTGCATGCTTGTAATTATTAAATTATTAACCATAGTAACCAAAGAGGAAAAGAAATCCTCAAGACCGAAGCAGAAAAAAAGTGGGAGATGAGATGATAGCCACTCTTTCCAAATCGTCGTCGATCATGAGGAGGTCTAGTGCATTTAGCTTGTTCGTTAATACGAATAAGCTTTTTAGAACAAACTTTCAATATAACTCAGTTGCCCATAATCATTTTTGGGATAGAGAAGTGCCATTAATCCAAGGATATGGCTTTGAGATGCCTGGAAAGTTAATACTGACATCATTCACAGAGGCACCTTGAAAATGCTAGAAGTGCCTCTCCGGATAGAACAAACTCTGATTGATTGCTTTCTTCCGTAGTACAGTCCGTCAAAATGATCTTTAAGTCAAGCCAATTTAAATCACTCGCCGGACGGGAAGAACAGAAAATCAATACAAAATAAAGGTTGAGGATGTGACTTGGCTTCGCTTGATTACACCTCGCAAGCCGCAAAGGATCTAGACTTGTCGTGAAGATTAAACTCATTTCCCCCAGATATCATATATTTAGAGTCTGTGAAAGGCTCAATTTCCCCTCAAGATCACATCTGGAAAAAAATACTGAATCTTCAATAGCACATGTAATGTTCCTCATGCTAATAAGACTTGCGTGAAGTGTTAGTTCACGCCAAGAGGAGTCCAGTAACCAAATGAAGAAAAATGAATTCCATTGTAATGGATCTGGTTGCCATTGAACCAGCTATACCCCTTAGGGCTCTGGCATCGTTATAATCATACATTATATGCCTATTCAGGCTAGCACCTTCCTCTAATGACTTGCAGAATAGTCATTAAAGTAACGTAGACATAACACTATGATGATGCCACGATACAAAGATCAAACTACCTTCACATATATAACGTAAGTCCCCAATCCTGCAATAGCCCTCCCTTCAACAAATTTTTCCACATATTCAAAGCCCATAACACTTGCGTTATTGGACCTTTATGCATACGGAAAACATAACAACAGAAAACATACACAGTTGCCCACGTTATGGGAACCCAATAAACCATCCACCAAATATAATCGACAGTAACAACTTCGAATTCGGATAGTAGCAGCAATCAATCAATTAATCAATCAATCGAGACCCGTTTCTATCTTCCAAGATACGGATACTGTTTTCAAGGTGAAAGTGTGAAAAATCATATTGCAAAATCACAATCAATCAACCAGAAGCAACTCGCATTATCACAAATCCAACCAATCCTAAGCAGCTATCAACACTACTCGCTCTTTCGATCGGAAGCATTAACCCAAAAAGCAACCATCGCGAATCGATCTATCAACCAAAAAGCACCACTTCCCTAGCAATCTCCACACAACTTCGGAGTGAAAATGAAGGTTCTAGGTCTGCGAATTGGGGAACCAAAGCCCGAATATCTGGATGCTACTAAGCCTATATATCACATACAGCAGCTCCCTGATGCCCCTAAGAGAAAGAGTCGATCAATTGAGGATGACCTGAGCAGACAAGGAAGTGATGGAAGTTTGCCATCTGGTGCGAGCAGTCAGGAAAGTCCAGATAGCTCGACACCAATAGTCGCACGTACAGTAGAAGAGCTGAGGGATGTGATTGGAGGAACTGGGTCATCAGTTTCGGACTTAGAATGTGTGTCGTTAATCTCATAAGTTATCGGAGAGAACATGCATACTGACTCCCCAATAGTAAAATCTAGAATTTTAGAGCTTGCGATCAGTGATATTGGCATGGGAAAGTATCAATGGTGTTTGTTTGTACTATGTGGTATGGGATGGGCGGCGGATAAGTATATTGCTCCTCCCATTTCCTGAAAATGATAGAACCTGATAAAAAATAGTCTCTGGCTCCAGGGAGTAGCGTTAATCCTGCCTACCTCCTCTGTTGTTTATGGTGTATCTGACCAACATGTTCGGTATGCCACTCTCGTCCTGAATGTTGGATTGTCACTTGGCGCCTTTGGTTGGGGTTTTGGATCGGACAAAATAGGGAGAAGACTCGGTTTCAATTCAACATTAGTTATTGCTGGAATATTTGCCTTCATGACAGGAATTGCACCAAATTTCATCGCTGAGGCAGCTTTTCTCGGAGTACTTGGACTTGGAGTAGGAGGTAGCCTGCCGGTAGATGGAACTATGTTTGTACGTCGACATTCTCAACATGGAGTCCCCCCTCAAGCTCGAGACATTGTATTTGTTTGATGTTCCATAGTGCTGCTTGCTGATGCCTTAGTAGCTTGAATTTCTACCACACAAAGACCGTATTTACTTAACACTTCTGTCTGTATGGTGGCCGATTGGGCAGGTTGTGGCTTCACTTTTTGCATGGCTATTCCTTGGATCAAATTTTGAAGCAAGACGTGGTCTGAGATTTTTCTTATATACCATGGGTGGAATAACTTTGGCAATGGCTATCTCTCGCTGGTTTTTTGAAAGTATAGAGTCGCCAAAATTCCTCCTTGCTTTGAACAGGCAAGCAGAAGCTGTAAGATCTGTTCGTGCACTGGCGCATAAGAACGGCACCAAAACGTGGCTCACCGAAGAAATTCTCGACGAGATAGGAGGGACAGCAGAGGTAACCAATGTAGTGGATACAAGCATCAAGGCGCGGGTACGTCAAGCGATTACATCTTTCGGACCAGAGACAAAAAGGCAGATATCTCCACTGTTTGGAAATGCTGAACTGGGTATAAATACTGTAAGTTATGTACCCAGTATTTTGATTCTCCGATTTTAATTTTATCTAGGTTCTATTGTGGATCATTTGGCTTTGTATTGGAATAGGATATCCATTGTTCAATTCCTTCTTACCACAATACTTGAAAGGTGGCAATAAAACTGAAAGCAAATCCGACACTTATCGAAATTACTTGATAATAAGTACAGCCGCTGTCCCTGGGTCCCTTTTGGCTTGCTATATTGTCAATGTGGCTGGTCGTAGGAGACCAATGGCCTTTGCAACGATGATTGCCGGAGTATGCTTCTTCCTTTTCACCATTAATAGCGACAGCAGCTTCCAGCTTGGCTTTGGTTGTGCAGCATCATTTTTCCAGAACATCATGTTTGGAATTCTTTAGTGAGTATATCAGCTTTATCAACGTGCAAGTTGTTACGTTGTACTAACAACATGTAGTGCATATACTCCAGAAACCTTTCCCGGATCCAGTAGAGGAACCGGTTGTGGTATTGCCCACTCATTGAATAGACTTGGTGGAATAATTGCCCCTCTCATCGCAGCGAATGTTGGAGCATCCAATCCAAAAATCCCTATTTACATCAGTGGAAGTTTGATTATTGTAGCATTTTTGGCTATGTGTTGTCTGAGAATAGAAACGCAGAATAGACAGTCGTTGTAAGAGGGTTGCACGGTACAGGAGACAGCCCCCGCATACCAAGTGTACTCATTATGTAGAACGAATACAACGTACGAAATAACTTCGATGTGCCACGAGTTGAATGTACCACACGGCGATAGAAAGCCTGGTTCTTGACCATGTAACTGCAAAAACCTGATGTTAAACATTCTGATCTCTATCAGTCTTTCCATTACCAGCTTCGATGGCCCATAATTCTTTCCTATGTCCAATCTCAATGAAGATTGGACTAGAATATTACGCGGCTTGATAGATGATATTGAAGTCTTTATAATTCTGCGCTGCCACTGCATTCGTTAATATTACATCGATCATAACAGTCCAATGACCTCTACGGGATGAAGTCTGATTAAAGTAAATGGCAGGGATGGCGAATGTGGGCTGACGGACAAGCTACAAGAAACCCCCCGGTGAGCTGAACGTCATTCCTAAAACAGCATCATCTCGCATAGCGCACAGGGCTGTGCGAACTATCGCTTTCTTCGAAGAATGGATGGATCTTCTTCCATACATACATGCTCCGTACATAAATTAATTGGCCACTAACGAGCGTATTCGGAGTTCTCGGATCTCGTACGAAACTTCTACGAACACCAAAACAATTCGGACGCGCAGTCTCAAGCAAGGGCAACGAGGCTGAGCACTTGAAACTTGCCTAGCCACAAATCATCCAACAGTGCGAACAGTACGAAGCCGCTGGAAAGCTTTCAAAGATTATTCATTTCCTATTGTCAGATACTAATCTTCAAACTGTTATTTCGCACCATACAATTTGGTGACCAAAAAATGTCTGTTCGAATACAACTCGACAACCCTCATAGCTTTTACACGAATCTCGATTTCATCAGCGGCAGAGTTATTCTGAACCTTACAAGCGATGAAGCGGTTAGTAGAATAGTTGTGAAGATCGAGGGGGAGAGCAAAACCCGTCTATCGAGACCACCAGAAATGTTATATACACAAGGTCCCAACAATCCTCCTGCACTTTATTCGAGGCGAGACAGACAGGAAATATGTCAGGAGAACCACAAGATTCTATACAAGGTCGCAGAAGTGTTTCCCAACAAGGCAATCGTCAGTTCATATACACTCAGAGCAGGGCAACATGAGTATCCTTTCCGCATCAAGTTGCCCATTAACAATGGCTGCCATGATCCGGCATCGCAACAAATGGGTCCTGGTAGTGGGTTTGGAGGTCTCGGAATTCAGGGCATACAACAGATGCAGTATACACACGTTAAAAGGACATTACCTCCTTCACTTACTGGATTTCCGGGGGAAGCCGAGATAAGATATTATGTCAAAGTCACTGTACAAAGACCCTCAATGTTTAAGGAGAATAGAAGATCAACAATTGGATTTAAGTTTCTACCGATCGAAGCTCCAAGGCCTCCTAAGACCACAAATGAAGCGTTTGCAAAACGGCCGTTTATGTTCCAAAATGGGGGCCCAACCTATGCGAAAAAGGGTCTATTCACGAAGAAAGCTAAGCAGTTATCAAATACGTCCCCGCAAGGAGAAGTCGATGCTCGACTACCTAGTCCTCCCATCTTGACTTGCAATAAGCCTTTACCAATGAGGATCCTTCTTAGAAGAACTAACACAAGCCCTGAGCATGTATTCCTCATGTCTTTGCAAGTAAACCTTCTTGGGACCACTGAGGTAAAGGCTGCAGATGTTATTAGAATTGAAACAAGTACTTGGGTCGTGATGAGTTTGACTGGACTATCCATTCCTATTGGATCACCGGACGATCCGATCGGTACTGAGACAGCTATAGATAGTAAATTATGGGATGCAATTCCTTTGCCAAATACTGTTGCACCTTCCTTTGTCACTTGCAATCTTGCTCGTCGATATGAGCTTGAGGTGAGGATTGGATTAGGTTATGGCTACCCAGGAGAGATTCAGGTATGTCTTATAATGAATTACTTCAGGATTACGTGAATAAAAACTAACAAATTCAGTCGCAAACAATATCAATTCCTCTTAGATTCCAAATTGAAATCTTTTCTGGCATTGAACCACCAGCGGCACTTCTAGACGCCATGACAACTCATCCCCCTATTCCAGTAAGACCTCCAGTCAACACAGCACCACCGCCTTTTGATCCGGCATTTCCACCTCAAGTTGGAGCGCCAGGGGCACCGGCTCTAGATGATGCTCCGCCTTCTTATGAAGATGCTTTAGCGGAAGACATCACCCAAGCGAATGGTACTTCGAGACCTGCGTATAGTGGCGTTACGAACGAGAATGCGCCCGGTATTGATGAGAAAGGGGGCTTGAGTAGTGGGCATCAAAAGGGCGAGGCTTCGCGTACAGGCTGATATTGTGGAAATGGTTAAACGCCCCTTCGTTCTCAGTGGTGACAGAAAGCGATTAATTCAGGCGTAGAGGAAATTTTTGAATCATTTAGTGTCTAATAACCTGCCAAAGCAAAAAGCTCTGGTTGCCTACTTACTAAATTGCGTCGTAATTCAGAATTCTGAGCTCCGAGCAAAGTATATAAAGCCCAATGCCCAGCGATATCAATCAACAATGCAGTTGTCACGCACTACCGATACGTCATAGAATATTTATGGTTTATCGAGAGGGAGAACAATTGGAGACATGTAAACATGCTTTGTTATGGCAAGGAAGGAGATGATACCTAGAGCATTGGAAAATTCACAGAGCAGACAGACTGGTAAACCAGCACAGCTTTAGAGTGGGGAGAAGCGGAAGTTAAAATGAGATGAGAGGAGACGTTAATTAACAATGAATTATATTTAGAAAGGAAATCCAAAATCCTTGATATATATGGATTACAAGTGTAGGGTTCTTTAGTTTTCTACTATAGATAGGATTGGGAGACATTTCAAATGTTCAACTTGAGGGAATGTTTGGCATTGACAGCACTTAAACACTAATAAATAGCACAGGATTTTGGAAGATGGCATATCCAGATATTTTTACTTATCTACGTGAATCTCATGCACGATTTTTTCTTTGCATATCTAGACATACTTTCACACCTGCATTTTCCCGTTGTTCATTCCATCTAATCTAGTTCGATCCATCCCCCTTGTTTTTTACCTCCTCCTCTCCCAGAAGTTATAGTCACAGGACTACCTCAACTTGACCCAACTCCAAAACCACTTAGCTATATAGGTGAAAAATAAGACGATATCATATCTAATACTGACATGCAGATATCCAATCCATCTACGTTCATATCTATATTCAATCACTTCAATGATCTCCACTTCGAGTGATACTGTGAAGTGGGTGTATTTTCAGATGACATCAAATTGTGAGTGCTTTGAGGGGTAGCATGCCGCGGTATAGTATTTCTAGGTAGTTATTGGATTAACATTGACTATGTATGTATGTGTTTGAGCTTTTGGTCTGCCGTCAAGATATTGAAAACGGAAGGGATAGTCAATATAGATACGGATCATGTGAGCCTTCCTCCATATGTCTTCTAGACATTCCAAAACGCCAGGTTTGCCAACCTTCCCAAGAATCACTATCGCCGTCTGTAGTCATCCCGTGGGCCTCGGTCGTTTCTATACCTATCACGGTCGTCATATCTGCCCCTGTCCCTCCGGTCCTTATCATCATATCTACCGTCCCTATTGCGACCACCATCTCGTCGGTCGTCCCGAGAACTATAATCTCTCTTTTCCTCACGTGGGCTTTTGCTTCTTTCTCTCCTACTCTCATCGGGGTTTCCTTCCCTTTCGTGCCTCTTCCTCAGCTCGTCCTCATCGATAATCATACCGTATCTATCCCTTCTTGGTCCCGAGCTATATTCTGCATTTCTATACTGCCTCTTCTTCTCCAGTCCACTAACACCACCAAAGCCACCACCTCCTTGTCTTCGCTTCGAATTTGTTGCCGTTCGCCAGGTATCAGATAGTTTTGATACACTTTGGGAAAAGTCGACATGGATTCTGTGATCGTCTATGAGAACGCCTTGCATTTTGAAGTACGCTTGTTCGCATGATTTTTCGTCCTCATATTCGATAAAAGCATACTGTAAACTATCCCCTGTTCGTTTATCTCTGATCACCTCGCAAGAGAGGATCTTACCAAAGCGACTGAAAATAAGTTCGAGATCCTCATCTGAAAAGAGAAAGTTAGCGTTCATAACGATAATCAATGTAAACCATGTAAACTACCTGTAGTAACTGGATTAAGCTTGCACACAAAAAGAACATTTTCCGGTGGTTTGACTTCCGCAAAAGGAAGATCTCCAACCATCTCCAAAGTCAAGGCTTGCGCTCGTGCTTCCCGCTCTCGTCGCCGTTTCTCAACAGCCTCAACATCTGTTTCTTCATTCAAATCATCATCTTCGCCAATGCGAATCGTAGCTAGTTGCGCTTTGGAAGGTACAGGACTTTCTGATGGTTCGACAAGACCTGCTGGGTCATCATAAGGATCATCTAAGATGACCGTGTGCTTGATTCGTATGTCTACTAACGGCCGTCCTTTCTCGTCGCAGAATGAATCGTTGATTTTCTCCAGCGCATCGAATCCTTCTACCACTTTGCCAAATATAGCTGCCTTGCCATCCAGATAGTCTAGGTCGTCTCCCAAAGTGATTATGAATTGACTGCCTGCGAGACGTTCATCTGGATCCCTCGTTGATGGCGCGGTCGCCATACTAACAGTTCCCCTTTCTGCATGCTTTAATTTTGGGTGAAAATCTGCTTTGAATGTCTTTTTCGCTGGTCCTTCTAATAAACCCCATATTGAGCTTCCCCCGTCGCTATCTTTCGAATCAGGTCCTACCGGATCGCCAGCTTGGCACGAGAAATTCTTCTGCACGCCATAGATCGGAGAAAAATTATAATATTTGATTTTGCAGAGCTTCAAGAAGCTAGATTACCGCGATCATCTTAGTATCTATGTGTTCAGCTACTTCATAAGGCATGGGGAGGCATTGAGATTCAAGACTTACTTCTCACAAAGTTTAGGGGAATAATCGACCAATAGGTCAATAACAATATCACCAGCAGAGGTCTCAAGAAGGACACTCATGATTTTTGAATAATACCGATGCCGGGTGTGAAGCTGTAATGCAGGTAAGTTGATCATCGCACAAGCGCGGAACCGCGGCTAAAATACAAGATCGTCACCACCTTGCGAAACTAAAAGCGCAAATCACCAATCACAGCAGTATGGCGGTCTAGCTTCTTTATTTTTACATACATATAACAGTCCGCTTCAAGTGGGCGACTAAGCTCCTGTACACTCGATATCATATTTATTAACTTCATCATCTAAATGTTTTCCTCGCCCTCGACAGCCATGGTCTCAAACATTGTGTTGAGTCTAGGAAGGAAGATTTTTCCACTCATATCCAGCATTACATAAATCACTTGAAGTCTAGCCAATTGATAAAGTACGGCTCAATTGAATCAATCGAATCAATTGAATCAATGCCCGAGTGATCATCTGAGTGAGTGAGATGTACATCCTCCAACTCGCTTTTCATCTGATGAAGAAAACAGAAACGACGGAGACACGCTTGCCTCACATATCACGTGCCACTGCCGTACCTTCTGTCTTGGAGAATGCGCAGATTTCTGTATGTTAGACTATGCGCGCCGAGTATTCATCCAATATTCGCGCAGCCTTGAAGATAATAGGTGTCAATTGTTGGTCAACGTCCTGTCGCTAAAAGATTTGTTCTTCCTATTGGACTCGCAAATTTCGTATCCGAAAGGGCTGCAGACAAAGGGGCGGGTAGATGAGAATAAACGTCCGAGAAGCCATTGATAGGTCTCCATGCTGAGGGCATCTATATCTCGATCGCTTCCTGCAGCTCCCACAGCACGGCTGCACCGTAACTTCGGTACTATAGATTACATTCCTTAATGCGATCCGTGCAAACACCAGTCCCTTTGGCTTCCATCGAGGCAGCGCAACGTCTTGGCCTTCATCTTCGAGGAAAGTGGCTATTACTGTCTACTCAGGATTTTCAGCCTGCATTGGAAGGCGTAACATATCACCACATTTTATTTGAAGAAACATCCATTACCAGGCCATTGGACTTCAGTGGTTCTCATTGGCCCTCGTCAGCTATGCATCACGGATAGGCGCATAACGCACATATTGGCAGAGCACGCGAAGCAGCCACCCGTTATGATCTATCAATAACTGCCCATAATTCTCATAACGTTGCATGGTATGCACGCCCATGATTTACTCCACCCCGGGGAAGTATTTTTCCCGCCGCGTCTTCTTATAAATGATTTTAATATCACGCAATTATAGAATCAAAAAAGAGTAAGCCGAAATCTGATGCCCATGCCAGGGCTTCGATGGCCCGATCCTCACGAGTTTACAGCTCGGCCGGACTGTATCTTATCAAAATAGATCTAACACCAAAAGCCTGGGGGGTACCCATTGGTTTGGTGACACTTCTAACAACTGCTAGCTATCTCGATATGTAGCTCTTTATTCCCATAATATACGTATTGTACGGGAAGATGATTTTGCTTCGAGATACAGAATGGAAGCCCGTAGTCATCGGCATATCGATGATTGGCTTGCATTCTCTCAGTATTTGAAGTGACTAACTGGTACGGCTCTACTCCTCTTACACCACCTCGCACATCATCATCATCGGTACAACGAAGACTTCACTTACTTGCTACTCGAATTGGCGCAAAGGGAAATTGTGCGAAGCGACGGAGTCTCTCTCAAGCGTCTGAGCGCAAAGCTCTTCATCTGTGCTATTCCATCTGTGATACCAGAATTTACATTGATGCAATTAAACTGATGTTCGTACCAGTCACGTTGCATCGCCTGAGCATCGCCTTGTTGAAAAAAAAAACTCAGATACCCTGCCAGCCGTTTTGAATCGGTTTCCAAAGAAAAATGGAACATACTGCAGAAAGAAGTCATACAACATTGCTTGGTTGTGGCCAGAATTCGGCTAGAAGCAAACAAACTAAGAATGAAAATTCGTTAAGCTTGGTTTGTTTGCTCCAATTCCATTAGAAGGAGCAAAATTTGATTGAATGTGATTGAATGATCATGTAAATCAGAGCTAAACTCAGAGGGTTTGAGGTTCTTCTCTGATAGTGGCGCGTTCAGTCCAATGGTGCTGGAATAGTGCTAGACTTCCAAGGTTTTGACATGGACTTGATTAGACCTTCCTCTCCTGCATCAAAATAAGTGTTACGTACCCCGTATTGAAAATTTGGGTGCGTATTGACTCTTTTACCTGTAACGAATTGAGGAGCGAAGTAGCGCAAGATTTGAGGAGCAGAGTATGACAAGCACCAGCGGTGATACATCGTTTGCAGATTCATAATTGTTCCATAATTCGTAT